GATCGTTAACTACAATTAGGGTAATAATGTACATGGCTGGTTTATTGTGTGTCCGAAAATAACAAGAGTTTGTATTGTCACAACGAAATATATTAGGAATTCATGGAAAAGAATTCTATTCTATTTGTGGATTTTTCTGGATTGTTATATTTACTTAATAGTCTTTCAAAATATATTTATTCCAAGTTTAAAAAATATTTTCGAATGTTGTATTGAAAATCGATTGATTTGTGATCGGGTTTTAAAGAGTTTTTTTGGTATAAATTAAGCATTTTTAAAATTTGTTTTGATTGGTATTTGTATATAAGTGTTTTACAGACAATACTCTCAGAGGTTAGCAAATATTATATTAGTTTCTATCAGAAAGTATGACTATTATTATTAACTTTTGTTTTAAAAAGTTAAACTAAACTAAAAATACAGTTATATAATGTGATAAATAAGGTACATTATATTTATATAAGTATTATTAGTGAAGTATATATATTTCTATCGATTATACATAAAGGTGTGTGTAAGTTTTGTTTTGGAAACCATTTTTCTTTGATTCAACCCCGTTTAAATAATATGACGTATTTCATAATAATAAATAAATTATTTGTTCGATCCTGACAAATACCAATGTGATTTTTCCGAGTCATATGCACTTTCTAAGAGTATTTAGACATCACTGATTAATGCATTCCCAAAGAGGGTTGTTGTCAGGTAGGCGGCCGGTCGTAAAAACAATTAGCCAAAACTATTCACAACATGTAAGGCAGACCCTGGCTAAAGCTGGGAAATTGCCAGGTAGAAGAAGAATTAACTGTATATTATTTCGTAAAGCCTCATTTCTAAAATATCAAACTGTATACAAAACGTTAAAACTTTTCACGTTACTAACTTTAAACTGTTCCTCTATAAAACAATTTAACTTCTTCAGCAACTGTAAACCGCTTTAAAGCATGTTATGATATATTTTATAAATAGTACAAGAGTTATAAATGTTCAAAGTATGTAAATTTGAATTACATATACATATGTATTTTTGATTAATATAATGTTATGAATTGAAATGGTTTAAAATTAAATCTTATATGATAAAAAGAAAATTGACTATAACAACTCTTTCTTCTGTTGATATATATTCTAAAATTATTTTCTAAGTGCCTGTTAGTTTTAACCCTTATTGGTAGAAAATATTGTAAGTAAATGTCTCAAAGTATATTTAGGTAAATATTTTTAGGTAGGTAATTATTTTCATAAAGGGCAATATAAAATATAATAATAATATGTACTATAGTATGTAATATATATATATTTTTGGCTCTGTTTTGACTTTTTAATTTGTTGGTTGAGAAGCATAATGAGATCTGTTAGAATGATTTTAAAGGAAAAAGTTGTAGTAATATTATTAGCGTTTTGTAAGATTTTCTTTAAATAATTAATGACACATTAAAAAACTATACTCTTTTACAAATCTATATTAAAAAATGAATCAATTACTTATCTATTGTTAATGACTAATTCGCCAAAAACAACTTTAATAGAGAGGAATTTTGGCGATAACTTTTTTAAGGAAAAATCGATTGATATTAATATTTGATTCAAGTAATCTATATCCGTCATAGTGGCCTAGTGGTTAAAGGCCCGCTTCTTGTGCATGTTGTATTTTTCCGAGTCATATGTACTTTCTAATAGTATTTAGACATTACTAGAAGGAAAACATCGTGAGGTAACCGGGACTTATAATTTTCAATGAAAAGTTTTGACATCCCCAACCCGTCTTGAGCAAGCGTGATGATTAATGCTCAAACCGTCTCCATGTGAGAAGAGGGCTTTGTTCAGCAGTGGGCTCTGATAGGCTGATGAATGACGATGAATGTATATCCGAAATAGAAAATTTATATATTTATAATCAGTTAATGAGATCTAAGATTTTCGCGAGTACTCGTTTAAATGAAACTAATATTGTCGGATTTTACTTCGCGTTTTATTTTTGACTAGAAACTACATACTCCCGACATTTCGGTTACTTTTCAGCAACCGTGATCACGGTAATAAAATTCGAAAATATTAGTTTCATGTATAATCAGTTGCCTATCAAAAACTATTTATAAAGGAGTAATGTAATGTTCTTATCATACTACATATGTACGGAGCGTTCATAGTTTTTCATTTATAAATATTCGCACATTATTAGGATAGGTCGTTGAATAAGAGACTTGAAACGTTTCCTATGTAGTGACAACTTAAACTTGGACTAAGTAATTAAATCTTTACGCTATCGAAGGTCAATGGATTTTGGCTCTGAATAACTTTCTAACCATCTTTAATAATAAGAGTTTTATTTATTTGTGATAGAATGCGCTGATAAGTGTATTTTACTACTAAATCTTTAAATAAAAATTTTCTATATATCCATATGGCTTTTTCATTGGTATTCTCAGTTACTTTTATCAAGTGAAACAGGTAAATTTAATTTATAATAACTTCGTATTAAAAATAAATAAAACAAAGTATTTATTTATAAAATTATATTATTTTAATAAAGAATACAAAACATAATTGGCAGTTGATTTAAAAATATATATAAAAATAATCGGATACACAAAAATGAAATGGTACGTCGAAATAAGATTAAATAATGTTCAAGATCAACTAAAAACTAAATTATTATGTAATTTACAGGCCATTTAATTACTTAAAATTCTAAGTAACATAATCATAAAAAATACTAATAATCGATAAAGAAATATTTGTGTAAGTTACAGAACAATATTTCTGTAATTTACAATAAAAAAAATCAATGATAAATTCTTATAAGCTAACGAGTAGTTATAATTATATTGCTTAGTATTGAAGTAATTGTTATTATTTAGGTTACATAGTTTCAGCGGAAGCATATCTTTGATATTCGGAAAAGATGCAAATTTTTATATTATTGAGTATGTAAGGGCGTATATAATATTTTGACACGTATCACCAACGCGTTTCTAGTTAAAATTTAGATAATATGTAGTATTCAAAGAAACTTATAGAATATAAATAATTTGCATATTCTCCGAACGATTACATGAAGCTTATTTTGAAAATTTTGATATATTTTATTATTTATTTTTTTTCTACAATTCTTATAAAAGAGCGTAAGCATACCAATTTTAATTTATGTACAAAACTCTTGAAGTGCTCAATTCTTCAAATTTATTTGTAAATCCACTGGTTATTATAACAGGACAGATATTTTAAGTAATATATCTAAACTTTGGTCTATAAATATTATTATTTAATGTCATGAAAAAAACAGAATCATTATTATGTAATAATGAATAATTTATTTATTTATTTATTTATTATAGTAACCAGCGTATTGTAAACAAACGTAGCACACAAGAGTTTTCGAGAGATCATAGGAAAACTTCATTTTTTTTTTAATTTTATCTTTCCCTTAAACAAATACATATCACATTTGAACACATTCTTCTGTATTTTTTTTGTAATATATTAAAATAAAAACTAAAATAAAACTACTTAATGCGAACTAAACTTTTGTTCCCAACACATTTTGATCCCACTTTTTTAATGAAATATTTTATTTTTTAAAATCAAAATAATAATGTACAAAATGTATTTGTGCGTTTGTATTTCACGTAATTCGGACGGAAATTTGGTTTGTTTTTTTTTATTTTTTACTTTAACGGATGGGAAATACGTAAAGCCTCCTTTTCCTTATATTGAGTGATCTAGCTTTCACTATAAATAAAACTAATTATTTCGTTAAGGAGTTAAGACGTGTAACGGTAACGAGTCCTATTATTTTTATATTATAATTTTTCTAAAGATAAAATTCGAGATCCGCTTGCGTAACTTACAAATCGCTTAAATTTGTATAAACTGTAAATTATATTTAATTTCATTATGAATATAAATCAGCATTTAAAAATTATCTATAAAAATACAAATATTCATCGATATAGGCTAAACATATTGTGTTATTACATAAAAATGTCAAGGAAAAGATTTCTTTTAAGATATAAACTATATTAAACTACGAGCATTAGTACATGAACCAGACCATTTTTGAATTTATTAATTCTTATCACGGTCCTAATCAAAAACACTGTATATCCTATGACGTTATAAACATTTTATTAAAAAAACACATAATGAGATCAAACGATGACAATTTTAGGCTGCTCTCTTTGGAAAAATTGTGCGGCAAAAAAGTTTTTTTTTCTGCTATCCATAAGAAAACCGTTTTGTTCATCAAAACTTGGCTCTTTAAAAGCTTGCCATGTTTATATGACATCATTAATTACATATATTTTAAGTATACTTATTTTTATATAAAGGCAATGAAAAATTTAAGTGAATTTCGACAGCGAAGTGTGTTTTCATATACAATCCTAATTTAAGAAACAAAACTTCCAAAAATTTGTGCGTTTATATCAGTACATGTTTGAAATAAATACATATATTGGTTTACAAAATTTATAAGTATAAATTTTAAATTGACACATTTAAATTTTTTATCAATGAAAGCAATATTATTTTCATTAAGAGCAACAAGTTTCAGTTCAATACTATATATATTATACGGCTTTCTACCTTACAATCTAACGAATGCCTTTACATGTCTTAAATTTGCAATTATTTTTATTTTAATATATACATAATATATGTATTCATAAAATTATATTATACAATAGAATTCAAAGAAATACATAATGCGATACAATAAAGTATTTTTGCGTGAATTACAAAAATATTTACACAATGATATTATGTAATTTACATAAAATTTAAATTACAATAAAAAAAAACGTATATATTAAAGAAGATCTTCTAAATGTAAACACTAAATTAAAAATAAGATCAATATTTGTCTAAAATATGGTTATTTTACAATAACCTTTGAGACTTGGATTTAACCTGAAAATTTTGGAATGCGTTTAAGGGAATATAATGTTATATTCACGAACGCATGAACACTTTGAATCAAGTGTAATTGGGAAATTAGTTCACCGTTTGTTGGACAGAAGTTTCCAGCCGAGTACGAAGAGGACTGCCGTGCAAATAGAACCAGATAGCTTATCAGGGAGTATAGATGATAAGATTGAACTTTCAGACTCCTTCTTCCCAGCGAACGAAGGCTCCGGATCAGCTGCGTCAGTCTGGAAAGAGAATTGAACTCAAATATTATATCCATATGATTGAAATTGCATTAGCATTATATCATAAACATTTTATTTATATTTTGAATTCTATATGTGAAGTTCTATAAACAAAACGTATAACAAATTTAATTGCATTTACTATACAACTCACTACAAGAACAATAAACTTAGCGAGTCCATAAAGACTGTAAACACTGAAAGCTATAAGAGAATTTCTAGTTAAAACGCTTTACTTGGAAGCACTTTTTATAGATATTAATAAAACAATGCCCTCATAAAGTTTAGTACGTGAGTTTCAGTAGGGTAGCTTTACATACACGATACGATTTGTGTGTATTACAAAGGTTTATTATGAAACGACTTCAATAAACATAACTAATGATATAAAATTACAATAATTTAAGTATTGTAAAAATAATTGAATAATTTATAATATAATTGCATTTTATTGTTTACATTTAACGAGCACGTTACGACTCCGATACGACCGGGAAGTCGTATAATGTAAAGACGGTGAATAATTCAAGTGAGTGATACACTTGACTGTTTTATTGTAAAGATAATTTGAATGGTACTTTTATTGGGGGGTGTAGCGTGTGTTATTATCGTATACAGAGCCAGATTCGATTCCATCCGATAACTATTTATTGACAAATTTATATTCAGACTCTTACGATATATGAAATAAAAAGGTATTTAAAAAGCTTCTGAGAGATAGTTTAAAATAAATATTAAATGGCCAGTAGGCAATAAGCAAAAACTAAATACAGATTATTCAAAAGGGTAGATTAAAAACAATAATCCAGTTCACATCTTAAAAATATATTCACTGCCTTTTGTACTTATCGTCATATATTTCTGTTAAGAAATTTATTTAAACATTGATAAATTACATAAGTCAATAGATTATGTAATTAATAAAGTATATAATATAGAAAAGAAGACTAGGCTTAGAAACATATATATTATACTTGTACATATATTTTAATATATATCATGTATTAAAAATTTCAAAATTTTTGGACCAAGTTACTAAGATGAAGCATTAAATTCTCCAAGACGAAGTGTTTATAAACAACATCCATATAACTTATTCTACAATTGCTTTACGACTGCACTTGTGTTGTTGAATGTACGTCATATATTATATTATTTACAGAAATAAGAAATACACTTAAACATTTTACAAAGTATGAAATGTAATTGTAAATAATGCAATCAAAACTATTCAATTACGATGTTCATCGATAATAATTGTAAAGATCATAATAGTGATTTATAAAACATTTGTCCAATGAAATTATGTATTACCTACAAAAATATTAAACCTAGTACCTATACCTTTATAGATATTTAATATATGATTAAAAATTAACAATATATAATTGTTCATACAATGACATAAAGACTTCCATCACGAGGCAGATGGTTAATCAGGATTACGAGGTACATTACAAGCCACAGGTAACTCCCCTTAAATTAGAAATACAAAATCCTCTTAAAATCTGTGATCTGTATAATTTTATTTAATACTCAGAACAAAAAGAGATGCGAATATATTAAAAACGTGAAACGAAATGAGACAGATATATCTGATTTTCTATCTATCGCTGGAATCATTTATATTTGCATACACTTTGTGTAAATAAAATTGCTAAATTGGAATCTCTGGAGTCACTCTGCCCTATGATATTAATGTTAAGCTATTTTAAACCTAACCTCCGTTCCTAAGAGTTCAAATTAGACAAACAAATATACTATTACAATACAGTGCCCCACGAAAAGATTAAAGGTATCTTAACAAAGATAAACAAAAATAAAGTAAAAAGATGAAGATAGATTTGTTTGCTGAACTATTTCATGTGTTTGTTATTGGAAAAGGCGTTTCAAAGGGGTTCTAACGGCATTTCAAAGACATCTTATTTGATATTGATATTTCACTGTTTAGTGTTTTGTTTTAAGAAGAATTTAGAAATATATATTATTATCGAATTTTAATATACTTACTTAGTAAGATTTATTTAAAATACGGTAGGAGCGACAATGGTAAGTAAAATCCACACCGAAGCGAACAAGCGTAATAATAAAGAACGCAAAAATACCTTTGATGTGTAACAAAAGGAATCGCGGCGACAAATCGTTTCAAAGAGATTGGGGCTGCGGATAATTTTCATTCGATACCCAGCTTGCTACTTAATAAATATAACAGTTAATAACAAACTCTATTACTTTATATTAAGGTTCAATTTTATCGGATACCGCTACTTCCAATCCGTAAGGTTATTTACAATGTAGCGTAAGAAAAGAGGTTTTATGAAAGGAGTCGCGAAATGAGTTATATTTAATTTTAAAATACTTTCCTGCGGTGTTAAAGGCGATATTTTTATTTACATTCTGTATTGAAAGATTTAAATTAATTTCTTGATTAAACGTGATATTGGTATTGCTATAGGTAAGTATGTAAAATGCATGGAAATTAAAAATATTAATTATGTTTAAATGTGAAAACCTATTATTATATTATACTCAGAATGATAATTTTAAATTAAGAATAATATATGTGATAAGCAAATATATATAGGTAGTAGGTGCAAGTTTTTTATTAATTCAAATTTAAAAATGTACAAAAAAGGTTTTAGTTCCAAATAAATTATTATCCCTCAATACTGATTCCAATATCAACTTTGTTAGGACAATATACAACAATACCGAATATAATAAGACTATCTAGAAATTCAAATATATTTTATAAATGTTTATTCGTAAGAGCAATTGAATATTATAGCAGCTGGCAAAATTGAATACCATAATGTTTCAGACGTCTTACATAAAAATAGATTAATAAAAACTCTATACATATCGCCAACTATCTATAGTTGAACATAAATTATTGATTATTTCAACTTCAATACATGCACAAAATTACGAAAATCATGTTTGGATGAGCGATCGAGTTATATTAGCTGCAAAAAACATTGATTTCAATTAAATGAATTTTCAAATTAAAAATAAGATATTGATTCAGTCACTAACCAAGATGACGTTTTTAACTATCGTACGGACTTCTTAACTTCACTGAACGATGTCTGTCGGGTCAGTTATACTTTAAAAGAAATTAACTTCATTCAGATAAAAAGGTAACAGATATTTCTTGATTATAGGCCAGTATGAAGTTCGCCGGGTCAGCTACTAGTTGAATAGAAATGTCATTGTTTGACATTTAGTGACATTACACACGTTGAGTATTGTCACTAATTGACATATGTCTATGAAAGTAATTGTAATCTGTGTAATTTTTATTATAAATAATTATATATTTAATGTATGTTATATAAAAAATAGCTGTATGAATTTTGACTTGGTAAATTCTCATTCTTGTTAAATTCAAGTTCGTTTGCTCAATTCTCTTAGGAAATACAAAATTGTCGCTTCATAAATTAATATTATGATTAGTTAAAATCAATTTATATATAATAATTAATATGTAATTTATATTCCATTATTAATATATGTTTTCTATCAGTGATAAGCTTTAATTTAATACATTAATTTTACTTTGTTACTATTTACAATAGCTACTGTAGAGTAACGCTATAAAATTATCTGAACCGTTGTCTTGAAGATCTCATCTCAAGCTCTAGTTTTAACGTTTCAACTATGAATTTTGTATGAAACTGTAAAATACGTTCAAAAATATCTTTATGGTTTTGTTACATTTTATTTAAGTACTTTATATTTATACCTACACTTAAAATTTATTAATTGATTTTTATAATTTGGTAGTAATTCACAAATGTAGATTGACAGAAATTATCTATTTTCTCAATTTTTTTTGGAAATGTATAATTAATCAGTTGCTATGGATGGAAATGTATGTACCTTTCCATGTTTTTGTAGATAAAAATTAAAGAATACATATTACACCCCAAGTACTATCACACCAACTGAAAAATGAAGTTGTATACATCAAAAATATTATAAATACGAAGAACATTTAAAACTATAAATGTGACAGATCTCATAACATTTAAAAACCGCACGTCCTACAAATAACGTTTGAGTCAACGAGCATTGATGCTATACATTGACATTTACGAGGCAACAAATAAATTAAATGCGTACATAAAAAATATCGACGCGTGGCTCACTATAAATAAGAAGAACATAAATAACATAATAAAAATCATTTTGAATTATGCCCTTTTCATACTTTTTTAGTCTCATGTATGTACTATTATATTTTATTCGCATTATTTACGGTCAAGTCGTAAGGATTTCGGCTAATCGCTTGCTCGTAATAAAAATTATATCAGCCGACGTAAAAAACGGATTGTTTGTCATAAATTCTTTATAGATTATAATATTTATATATGTATATATATTTTTTAATATGCAATTAATTTAATATTTTACAGTATAGGTATTTGTGAATTGATTTATTAAGACTATTTAGGATCGAAACAAATGAATGTTAATTCAATTGGAAAAGAGACGTAATACTAAACTTTTAATACACCAACATAATTTTTATTAGACAATAAAAATGACAATTAGCACTAAATATTCTGTAATGGTAAGGGATTTTTACAACTATAACCGGGACGTCGTTAAAACGTGGTATAATGGAGACTTGTTATATATGTAACATGCGCACGCGTCGCACGTAAAATTATTAATAAAATATTATTATTATTTTTCTATTAATAAATCCGTTTTTTATCACGTCACTTTATGGATGATAAAAATTGTTAATGAAGCGTTGTTTATGTATTTTTAACATAGATTATATACAACATTATCTATTATATATACATACTAGTTGACCCGGCAAACGTTGTTTTGCCGTATAAAAATAGGGGTTAGTGATAAAAAAAATAATGAAAATTTTGTGTTGTATGTATTTTTAATGCTACATTATAAAAAAAATTTAAGGGTGAACAACCCTTATGACTTAGCGGTATGAAAAACAGATTTTGGCCGATTCTCAGATCTACTGAATATGCTCACAAAATTTCATCAAAATCGATCCAGCAGTTTCGGAGGAGTCCTCTGTCTAACACCGCGACACGAGAATTTTATATATAAGATATATATGAATACCAATAAATAATATTTTTAATTAATCAATCTGAATAAAACTTCTCAATAAATCAACGATTTTCAGAACAGAGTTTATTACCGATTAAGTACTAATGAGATTTCAGAATAAATATATGAGTTAATTTTTATTAGCATTGTTGTAATAAATAAGTAATTCGTTCCGGTGCTTGCAGTGAAGGGAGTCGTATTGAAAGAAATCTCCTTAGTCATACGAGATAGCAATTTAGTGACTTCATTTAATACGAGGAAATACACAATAAAATATAAGCAAATTTAGAAACATAACCGTTCTGAAATCATTAGTTATACTTGAACAGTCCAGACATTAAATTTTAACGTCTCTTTATAAAAAGGGAATTCGTTATCTTGTATTTATTACGTGAAACACAATCTATATTCCTCCTTGTTTAAGCTATAAAAAAACTTTCAAACAAATTTACGCCTTTTTTTATTTCGTGCTTTTTAAAATTCGAAAGCTAAGACAAAATGGCAGATCAGGATTTTGTAACCATGATAAAAAGTTATAATGCTTGCGTTCCTTTACACAGATAGATGTTTTAAGAGTAATTTTTATTGTACTTTTTTTATTTGTATTCATTTTGTATCTGTAAAAGAGATATGGAAGGGAAAGATAAAAAAATAGGATTTTTAGAAAAATCCCTACTAATATTATAAATGTGAAAGTAACAATGTCTGTCTGTCTGTTCCGCTTTCACGCCTAAACCACTTAACTAATTTTAATGAAATTTGGTACAGAAATAGAGTTAACCTTAAAAAAGAACATAGGATAGTTTTTATCCCAGAATTTTGAAAAGTTCTCTTGGAAACGCAATATAACCGAACTCCACACGGACGAAGCTGCGGGCGGAAAGCTAGGTATGTAATATATTTTGAAAGATTAAAGTCTTGGACAGAATCAGTGATAATCTATAGATTTAAAAAAATATATATGCTGCAACTCAGCAATTAAAGCCTTTTAATTAATTATTAAATATATATATTATTAAATATATGTATATATATATATATTATTAAGTATAGTCACAAACAAAGCGTACATTATAACGCAACATTTTATAGCTCGTCGTGTATCAAAATCCATCGTTTATTTTAACAACTGATACAGAACGCGTTTCCATCTACCGATATAAAAAAAGTCTTAAATTTAATATTGTTTTTATTGCCTAGATTACAATAACCCGGGGTGTGTGGGGTGCTTTATTTTACGTATGGGGTCTTTAAAATGAGGTAGGACATGAAAAAATTATGATAATGTACCTGAATATGTATTATACTAGTCTTACATAGACCCAGTTTGATTTGTCACTCTGACAGGTAAACATATGTATGGTTGTAAAAGCAATGATTGCGTTCAAAGATTTGAGTAAATAAAAAAATCAAATATAATAATTATATTACGCGATCTTTGGGATTTTAACGAATATAAGTATGAATTAAAAAGTATGGTCAAAAAATATGTTATGATGAAAGTCGTGTTAATTTTCTATTACGTGAAATCAGTGTTATTCATAATACCTACATTTTATATAATATTTTGTAACTATACACAAAATATGCACTTGATTTGGTCTCTATTATCTTAAGTTTTATAGACACCCTGCTTGGTTATAGACGATTACGATTCTGTAACTATTTTGTTTATAATTATTTAGATATCATTAAAATAATAATTTATCCTGATACCACATTTACAGTACTTCATATAAAAATAAATATACGTAGTTTTGTATTGTGTTATAGTATATCAAACAAAAGGTTAACATAGTGTACAAAAATGGATATTCACAAATACATAACACTCTTGTAACAGTCGGTTAAAAACGGCTAAACAGTTAGCTCGTCTTTACGGCACACGCAAGTTATTGTTAATAATATTTTATGTAAGCATGCCGCGATCATATCAAACAGTCAACGGCTTTAAAACTTTTACAACTGTATAAATGTATGTTCTTATCTGTCACTTTTATGTAACATTTGGCGCTGAGGATGAATTCAATTTAATTTTACCTTTATTTTTTTTACAATAATGTGTATCTATGTACCTACATACAGC